TCCAGCCTAGGGTTAACCTATTCCACCACGTCCAGGTAAGATAGGATAAGCCTTTCGGAGAATGTCCGCATTAGGTGGGGTTTTTAAAAAAATGGCCCGAAAAGGAAACTCACTAGCCATTTTTAGTAAAGATATTCTGAGTATTTTTCACAACTTTTTATATGTTTTCTTACATACCAGTTCAAATATGATGTCCGAGGTCCTATGACTATTCTCACAGAACAGGCAGAATTGCTCAAAACATGCAGATTTTCCCAGGTACAAAGTGAGTGAATTTGTGCAATTCGGGCTAATATGTAAAGAACATGTATATAAAGAAAGCAACTTTCTTACAAGTTAATTAGTTTTGACTAAATAAAACTAAATAAATAAAATAGAAATATTTTATTTAAAACTTTTATCTTCTTTAATCAAAATTATTCGCTAACACCAAAATCAATTCATTGATCCCTTATTCATTCTGATCCACACAAAACAAAAATAATTGTTATTACTAATTAAAATATGCTCTCCCAAATTTAACCAGTGACAGTACAAACTAAACAAACAAACTATTAGAAATTCATTAATAAAATCATGGTAAGATAATAAACAAATATAACATTCTTCAACTGAAAATTTATTTTATTTTAAAGTACATTCATTATATGAATATCTAATTGGAAGATTAGCATGATTTAGCTTATAATTTTTGTGAACAGGTCAAGCATCAATACAATCAATCCTATTATTACAACACTCTTTATTATGAATTATTATGATATATAATCAAGAATCTATGTATTAATCTAATTTAATTCTATATTTTATCATTTGTGTAGCTTGTATCAAATTAAACAAATTATGGTTATGCTAAAACAATGCCAATATAAAAATATAGTATAAATAATTCATTACTCCATCTTGTATACCCATGGTTCCATATGTTTAATTATCTTCATTTTTTCTGGACATTCTCCCAGTGTGGGATCAACCCAAGCAGTCAATAATTGCTTAAAGCTACTTGTGAGATCTAATGATGAGGTTGTGGGATTTGATGTAAACTGTTTCAAACAACTATAGATATTTGAAGATAATCCAAATAATGCAAGCGGCATCTGAAAATGTTCATGGAATGCTGTGATTTCAGCATTTGAGACATCATTATTGTCATCAATTCTAAACTTAATAAAATTTTCTCTTGTTTTATCATCATCTGTTTGATAATCTTTCAAAACTTCTTCAATTTTATGCTTGCACAAAGCAATTTGACATGTTTGAGGTGATTTAAAAAATTCTGTTGGAACTTCAATAAACTCTTTTGTTGCACCTAATTGCAAATACAATGACAAAAATGGAATATGTGGAAGTTCCTCAATGCCTATATATGCTGGTGACAGTGAAGCTGTTACAGAGAGCGGATAATCATCACCTTTATTATTATCTGTAGACCAATTTTTAACTTGTATTAGTACATATGAAATATGATCTTTGCTAAACTTTTCATGAAGAGTGCCTATATATAGGTATAATGATATCTACTCCCATTGATTTCATTTACATGAAAACACAGTACCACGGATCAGAGCATCACTGAGACTTTTCCTATCTGGTGTATATGTAATATTGATAAAGTGTGTAAACTTAATGTATGCTTCACCAAACTTTGTTCCTGTAAACTTTACTTGTTCTTCAAGGTGATTCTCTATTCTTCTATAAACATCATCTGTAAGTAGTGATTTTAAAAATTCATTCATAGTCACAAAATGAGAATAATCATTGCCAACATCTGTGCTATTTGGATGTTTCTTTTTATTACAATCATCTCAAGCTTTAAGAAGCAATAATCTGGCAGCAAGTTCTCCATGGTAACCAGCCTCTACTACACCTTTCTTGAGTGCTGATGAGAGCTGATTAATAAGTTTTGTGAGGTTGACATTTGAATCATTCATTATCCGAGCAGCTGCTTCTGCCAGCACAGATTCAGTAGGCATTGATGTAATAATGCATTCATGATCTTCTGAGATATCAAGACAATGGTGCATATAACTTGCTATTAAATGAGATGCATATCTAGATTGTGGCACTATGTCAATACATAAATGAGGTCCAAAGATAGCCAAAGTTTCCATAATAGTAATTCTGTTTTGAGCTTCTTTTTTCCAAAGAATGAAAGACCTCCCACCAATAAGCTTATCCATGGCTAATTCAATAATACGTTCTGGTTTGAATCCTTCAGTACCACTAGGTGATAATAGTGTATCCCACAAAGGTCTTCCATACTGAAAAAAATGATGTGGATCTTCAGACTCTTTCAATGTGGGTACTTTTTTAAAATTGGTATTCACATCCACAGTGTCTAACAAATAAAATGGCTCAAATAATTGAGATCCTCTTTCTGCAACCCTTTTTGATGGATCAAGGTAGGAAACAGGTGAGAAGTTTGAAATATTTGAGCGAGTCATCTTTATGGTACTAATGAAGTCTAAAGAACAAGGTTCGCTTTGGTTTATTGACTATTGTAATCAGCATAAAGCTGCCTTGTTGAAAAGAATCAACGTTTTTAGTGTAAATTTTCATGTGTATTTTAACCCATTATTGTGAGTTCGAAAAGCAGCTTTATTTTAAATAAAAGGTGCCAAAATATTTATTTGAAACTTCAAGAAAATTTTTATATATATCATTTTTTTAATCTATTAAGAAGTTTATGTGTTATAAATGTTAAAAGAAATTCTTGGCATTCAAGCAAATGTTACATGCACTAATTAAAAAAAAGAGAAAGGATTTGCACACTGACTTTGAGAAAAAAATTTCCAATCAAAAATGCAGTAAAAATTTCACAGTCACATGATTTTTGAATATTGTCAAGTGCTAAATAAATATTAATATATTAAAATTTTTCTTTTACATTCCTATATGAGGGATGCTGCAACAAAACCAGACAAAGTGAACATTTGTATTACAAAGAATTCAGGGATTGAAATTTGTAATATCAATAATAATAGTAATATTACAGAAATCAATACAATGAACATATCTAATTTGTAGACATTTTTTAAAGTATAAGAAATTAATATTAATAAGTATCCTAACCCTCCCCTAGATTTGGATTTTTTTACTTTGATCTGATCAAATAATTTTTGGCCAATGTTCACAGTATACATATTATTATGAAATTTTTAATAACATGAAAAAAAAATTTTTTTTTCAATTATTTTATTTAAGAGCTTATCTCAATGAGTAACTAAATCACACCAATTTGGTACTTTTCCATGGATCCAATGTCTTAGAATATTAAATATCAAATGAGTATCAATGATTAAATCACTTTGAAAATATCCTTCATTAGTGGCACAATAGAATATCCATTTCATTCCATCTGTTAAAACTCCATGTGCATTTTGATTGCTGGTGATTAAATCAAATGATGAGATGCATGAAATATAAATCTATGAACAAAAAAAAAAAAATAAAAAAAATAAACTCACTTTTTATCTTTCTTATTTTTTAATAATGTTATCAACTCTGCAAGTGTTTGTGCCTCCCCAGTATCAATTCTCCCTCCATGTTTGGCTTCAATAATGGTGAACAATGCATGTTTTTTAGGTTTACTAGTGTGAGCATGCAATATGAGTTTCCTAATTAATAGGTTATTTATAGCTCAACACACAGCCTACCCACTACTCACTGACTTACAGTCAAAGATTAATAAAAATATAACTTTTATCCTCCTGGATAAAAGAGTCCCTAGGTTCTATATATATATGTAATTATATCCCAAAGACGTCCCCTTGAGATGTGTCTCAATAATTAAAATATTGGTTATTTGCTAGGTAGCAAAGGTTCCCCTTTGTGGTTTATTAATTAATTAGAGATTATTATTTTAGGGTAAAATATGTTATGTGTTTTATTAGCGATTATTACAGATGTGTTAGGAAGTATTAATTATTAGATCAATATTTAAAAGATTGTTATGAACATGATGATTCTGACTTGGTCTAAAACCAAGTCTTTTTATACCTCTTGGGGTATTACAAATAACATGACTTTTACTCTATTTTGTCCAATAAACTATGCTTATTAATGTAAAATAAATATTGGGGTCAACTGAGCATTACAAATAATAATTAATAATTTAAAGTAAATATTTGCATCAGCTGAATAAGTTCTTGAAATATAAATATAGAAATATGAATATGAATAATTATACGTGTGATAGTTTCACAAAATATAATAAAAAAAAATAGAAATTATATCATTATCACGTGACTTCCGCGGTAATTTGGTTTGGTTGGATCGGCAACGTGGAGATCTCTCTATCGGTCCTTATTTTACTATCTCACACTAGTTCCAATCTGCCACTAACCAATCTACATGCCCTCCAAATTTCAACAATGTTTTCTCTGATACAACTGTAGACTTAAACAAGTACTCAGGATATATTTCAAGTTTTTTGTTATTTTTGTGGTTTATAGCTTCAATGAGATACATATCCACTAATGACCTTCATGCATTTTCATTAGACAAATTCTGGTACAGTCAGACCTCCATAAATGCATGCTATGTCTTGGTCCCAACCTCGGGACTTGGTGATAAATGCACACCCTCCATACTCTGCACTGCATGGTATTTTTTCAGTCCCACTCATATGAAAACTCCCTCCATAAATGCATTAATGTATAAAATTCATCGTGTAACTAGGATAAAATTAGAAATCATCGGCAAATTTTTTGATTTGATTGGATAATTTCCAATATGTAATGCAATCCAATTTCATGACTTTGTGTCACTAAATGCTTTCATAAAATGCAAGTTGATGAATTTTTGAATATCCCTGAAGAAAATATTGTCTGTGAGGTTCCAGATGATGATAAAATAATCAAAGAACTTGCAGAAATATATAAAAATAAAATGAATGTACCTGCTGACAATTTTGAGAAGATGACATTAAGCCTTGAGGAAGCATTAAAGGTCTTGAAACTGTACATTCATTTTTATTACAGCAAGAAAAATAACACTACAAACAAATAAAATTGGTTAATAAAATTGAAAGATATATCAATATAAAAAAAAGTAAATTCATCAAAACGAACTACAATGGATAGTTACATTACTGTATTAAAATATTGTGTATCATTTGTGACCAATGAAATTGCTTCTCTCCATAAACAACAAATATGAAAAAAATCTAAAAAGGAGAAAACATTGATATTTATATAAAAATGATGTATAGTAAATAGCATAAAAAACGTGTGTAGCATTTTTAAGAAATGACGTAAGAAATGACGTGTAGCATTTTTAAGAAATAGCGTAAGAAATGACGTGTAGCATTTTTAAGAAATGACGTGTAGCATTTTTTAAGAAATGACGTGTAGCATTTTTTAAGAAACGTAGTGCAGCATTAAAAAAAAAACGGAGTGTACCGTTTTCTTAACGCTGCATCGAAAATTTCTAGCGTTTAGTTCAAACGGACCTTTTGTCCATTTTGGCTTGCCATAGATGTGTAGCATTTTTTAAGCAACGTAGTGTAGCATTAAAAAAAACGGTGTACCGTTTTCTTAACGCTGCATCGAAAATTTCTAGCGTTTAATTCATAGAATTGGGGCTTTTTTTTAAAATCCAACACGTGGATCACATGATACTTCAAATTTTGAGTTGCTAGATATAAAATAAAAAAAATTTTTTTTTTACATTTTTTACGCGTTTTAATTAATGAAAAGTTCAAAGACTTCTTCGCATGTCAATAAAAATGTTCAAATCGCTAATACACCTAAAACGTCATCACCGTTGGTCAATAGTGTTAGTGGTAGTACTCCACTTGTTTCAAAATCCATATCTCCATCCCCCTTTCCATA